TACTGGATTTTAGACGGACATTAGGAAGGAGCGCCAAAACTCGAGATGATGGATGACCAAGACGACGATTCCAGAGAACACCTTCAACTGATGTACTAATCTGAAACGCAGTCACAGTCTCGAACCCTCGGAAGTGGTACAGTCCCTCACCCTCACGTTCACCTGCTCCAATCAGCGTCCTCGTGGTGCGGCCCTGTAAAACCACAATTTTCTCAGTTACTTGACCAACAAGAGAATGATCAGTTAGCAATTGGCCGAATGATATTAAATTCGTGTGAAACCCATCCACATAATACACATTCTTCAAGTGTATATGGGATGTTAATTGAAATAGTGCCCTGTTTGGTGGATAAGACGTCGGCTCCTGCTGCTACGGTAACAGAGACTGGTGCGACTGGTTGAATATTTGTCAGAAGATCCAGGCGGCCAGTCATATGGTGTGTGGCCTTTGTATCTAAGATCCAACGTGTTTCATCGTTCTTACCACTTAGTCGCGTATCGGATCTTGTCTTTTGAGAGTTCATGAGCATCACTAGTGTATGCCATTGAGCATCAGTTATGCCTGCGAGTCCTTGTCGATCTGTGTCTGTAAGTGCTGTATTGGCTTTAATGTTTGACGAAGAGACTATATGTGAAGAGTTTGCTTGTGGTGTAGTCGTTGGTTCCGTTGTGTTGTTTTTTCCTCCTCGAAGGTCATTTCTGGTACTTGGTCTGGTTCCCCACCATTCAGGATAACCAATTACGCGAAAACAACCTGTTGCTCGGTGACCAAGACGGCCACACGTGGTGCAGGTGGTGTTAGCGTCGGGATTTTTGAATCGGGGTCGAGAGCTATTGGTGTTTGAATTTGTTTGGCGAGAACTGTCATAACTTTGATTGTTTTGTCGATTGTTCGAGGAAGAGGATGAATGCGCCGGTGTTTGTGCTGCAAAGCTGAGCACGACCGGTGGTTCTTTCTGTGAGATTTGTTGAACTGTCTCGTTCTGAACAATAGTTTGGTATACAGTGTCGAGATCTGGAAGAGGAGTTTGAGCACATATTTGTGATCTTACTGCTCCATGAGTTGCGTCATCAAGACCGAAAAGAAAATCGTGAACTCGAATAATATCTCGTTCCTTTTCTTGTGCTTCCAAGAGATTGCAACTGCAGTTACCACACTTGCAAGTAGTAGTTGTAAAACATTCAGCCATAGAATCCCAGATTTTAGTGAGTTTGCCGAAGTAATCTTCAACGGAGGATCCAGATTGGCGACAGGTTGCAAGAGAGGCACACAATTTCTGGTAACGAGCTCCGCTTTTAAGTGCAAAACGGCGCTTAATATGTTCCCATAAGTCTTTGGCTTCTTCTCTATGAGAGATATTCGAACGTAGCTTCGGTTCAATCGTTAGTTTGATCCAGTTGACAAGAAGATGATTGTTCGCCATCCAATCTTCATGATCGGAGGATTCGGTGGTTGGTTTTTGTATAGTGTCGTCGATGAAAGCGAACTTCTTCCGTGCGCTTAAAGCAATGCGTAGGTTTTGTGCCCATTCATCGTAATTTCGTCCGTTGAGTAGAGGTTGAGAGACAACCGCTCCGGGATTATCATTGGTTGATAAATCATAGGGAGAGATTGTTTTTCGAGTCGGTGTTGTTGTCGCAAGAGGTCCTGCCATTGTTGTTTGTTGCGAAGGTCGTTAGAGTTTCAAAAGTGATCGTCGGGGGTTTCGAGTTTCGGTTTCGAGTTTTGTAGGTCGCGAGTCGTTGTTTGCAGAAAAAATTAGGTTCGTAGCTCTGATACCATGAGAAGTTCTATAATCGATAATCGTTTTCTGTTATTGATTCATGACCTCAAGGTCTTCTTATATACATCGCTAAGATTCATGTTCCTATCAAGAAAAGGAGAAAACATAATATGGAAAATAATCTATTCCTAAAACTATGGGATATGGTAATATTCCAATATAACACTTCAATGCTTGGATGATCTTGGATAATGAAAGAAGCTTAAAATTAATAGGATTAGAAAGCATGATATTATTTAATAGATCGAAGAGTTACTGATGAGCATTAATATTTTTCAAAATATAGCTCCATGTAGGTTGAAACAAAATTTCGTTCACAGGGCTGAAATAAATAACTAATGCAAGGGTGTTACTGTTACAGAGATATAATTATGTGAGGATTGGTATTGTCTTTTGACCCATTTAATTATTTTCAGTTAGGTTTCTTTGTGGTTACATAATTTTCCTTCAAAATCGAAATTGCTAAATTAAGGTTCCCAATCATTAAATTAAAAATATACCAGACGACTCAAAGGAATGAAAAGAGTTGATCACCAAAATTGGAACAATGTATATCAAGCTCCTGAACGATTTGACAGCACCCCAACTAACCCTGAGAATGCTTTTCCTAGGCCTTCCTCTGTTTGAGGCTACAAAATGGTAGAGTTCGGGGAAGCTATAAATAGTTCTCAGGGTAAACAATTTTTCTTATCCTTTTAACAAATATTGATCGACCTAAGTTCGGGAAAAAGATATATAAGACTTGAAAAATGATAAATAAATGATCTACAAGTGTAGATTTTCACTTGTGTGTAGGTGGGTTGGGTACGATGCGAGAACAATTTTCCTTGAGGATAGATGGGAAGAATGGATTCAGTGGAAACATTTGAGCCAACAATTTGCATCTAAGGAAGAGAACGCCTTGCAACATGCGGCTTCAAGATTTTCAAACTTGCCAGAAAGAATCGAATTGGAGATTTAGAGCACACATCCTTCGATGTTAAAAATAGATGACCAACATTTTACCAAATCCAGGAATTGTTGCTGGCGGTTGCAATTGAGCTACTCCTTGAGTGACAAAAGTTGCAGCCCAAAGAGATGCAACTAAAATCATTGAGAAAAAAACTTTGTTTCCCATATTCTTATCAATCTTGTTACACTTTTTTGTTTAGTTGGTTTATGCTTTATATACCTGGAACATCTTAGATGTTGAAAGAAACTTAATATTTATAGGATTAGAAAAGAAGACACTATTAAATATATCAAAGAGTTACCAGTGAGTATTAATATTTCTTCAAAATGTTAACTCCATGTAGGTTTATAAAATAATTTTCTTACATTAGCCTGAAATAAAAGACTAATGCAAGGACATTATCCTTAGGAAAATCAAATTATGTGAAAGTTGGTATTGTGTTTTGAGACCCATTTAATTATTTTTCTGTTTTTGTTTGTGTTTACATATTTTCTAAATTAAATTCTCAAGCAGTAGATTCAAATTATTAAAACGACTCTGAGGGATAATTCTCCAAAACTGAAGCAAGAAATTTCATGCCTCTAAAAAGATTGTCGGCAATACTTCTTCACAACCTTCAACGGCATCTAACAAACATAAACAATGTTCTTAGTGTGCCAACCCCTTGTATAAGTCATTGTTTTTTTTTTATGGATTGCTTTTATAACTCGAGATTATCATACAAATATTGGTAATATGTTGAAGTTACAATAAATATAAACAAACAGATCAAAACTCAACCAAAAAAATCCTAAATGTCAATTCAACACCTTTTTCGAATTGAAACTCTTGCCGATTTCCTTTCAATTCTTAATCAAAAGTTCTTTTTAGTTTTTCTTATTGTCTCTCCATGTCTATCAGTTCGAATTCACAGATTTAAAAGTCATATTAGGAAGTATGAATCTGACATGTTTATGATGATTGGAATCTCATGCAATTCGAATTTACGCTTTAATCCAATTGGTTGGTTAGAAAAAAAATTATGATTTTCATGGGTGGTTTCTAAAATTGGCGGATCGTTTTTGGCTGGGCTATATCATTTCATTAACTTTTAAGTTACACCTCTGTTACTAACCCTTTTTCGATTTAAAAAAATTAATAAATTAATTTTGTTTGAAATGGAGAATATTTAAAATGCATTTTCATTTTGAGGGACATTTCAATCATTGTTCCTTGTTCAACATAGCTGAGAGCATCTTCAACGGGAATCCTTAGAGAGGGATCCTTAGGAAAAAAATAATTAAATAATCAATAGACTCCACTAAGGATTCGATCGTTAAAATTTCTAAATAAGGATTGTTTCTTAGCGAATCCTTACACTATTTGCGGGTCTTCAGGACACGTGGCAGCCCGCGAATGATCTTTTTTATTTTAAAAAAAATTCAAAATATCTTACCAAATCCAAAATACTATTTTTCTTAAAGATTCCTATGAGTCTCACGGTTGCCGATGCTCTGAGAACTCTCGTACCTATGGTTTTGTTGAGGTATTGCACCTCTCATTTCCCGCTGTTGGTGGTTGGGTCAAGTGCACTTCACAGTTCACATCAAAGACAACTCGTTACGATTCCAATTTCATTCCTCGGTGGAACGATTCAACTATTTTGTATACCTTTGGTAATCCTAAACCATTCCGTTAGGGAATTGGTTAGGGTTGTTTTACTCTATTTTTTTATAACTGCTTTCTTTGAATGAGAGTTCACAAAATCTTCATGAAGAAGATGAGTTATTCTCGTTGGAACATAGAAATCAAAAGTATTTTATGTTTGATATTTTTGCTTACCCAACTATCAGCGACCTTATTTGATTCTCTTGGGATCCACTGACATCAAACTTTTGTATCCACCATTTGATCTCTCTTATCCAATTTTTTATTTGCTCCAAAATGTAATGCTTTGTTGTTTTACTCTATTATATTTCATTTTTTCTATTAACTGTTGTATATAAAATTTTTAAGATCCTTTTAAAAAAGAAAAATGTAGAAGTAGTAATAGGCCAAAAACTCTCCGAAAAGGTCTTGATGCGTAGTCAACAAGTTATAGATAGAACGAGTGAACTCGTACTTGTTTGACGTCTACGATGGATCCATGGACTTCTTCAAAGTCAGCGACCAAACAAATCTAATTGATCAACATATCTAAATACAATATTATCTGTGGCAGATCTTATTGATCTACGAATCATAATCGTGTAGTATTTCTTATTTATCTCGCTCTACACGGAAACATGGCTATAGCTAAAGTGATCCGTGAAAGACCCGTTCACACTATGACTATCTTCATGAGATATCTCACGGTCCATAGGTTCGTTTTATGTGTTTTATTGCCACTCTTCATTTTCCAGTTCTTGCCTTACGCAACGTGCCAGCAAGAGTTCGAATCCGAGGTCAGGGGAGTCAGGGCGGAATCAGTAATCGGAGTCGTTTTGCTTTCCATTTTCCTCTTTAGTATAGTCGCCGGCTGCTGCTTCTATGCATACAAGAATGTAGAGATTGAGTCGGGAAGCCGTCAAGTACTGCACACTAGAGTAAGGCATGGGCTCGACAAGGAAATCATCGACTCCTTCCCCTCTTTCCGTTACTCAGAGATTAAAGGGCTCAAGATAGGCAACGGTGGAGTGGAATGTGCAATTTGTTTAAACGAGTTTGAGGATGAAGAAACGCTACGCTGGATGCCTCCTTGTAGCCACACTTTCCATGCTAACTGCATTGATGTCTGGCTCGCTTCTTGGCCCACATGTCCTGTCTGCCGTTCAAATCTGTCTCCGCAACCAGGTGAGAGTTTTCAATATCCCAGCATGGATCTTGAAACGGGAAATGCACAAAGAGGTGTTCTAGAATCCCCGGGCCACATAAGCTTGTCAGGTAATAGTGTGACATGTAATAACAATGAAATTTATACAACACCTCGATCGAGATCTACAGGCTTATTATCAACCTGGCGTATGGGTGAGATATCCCTCCCTAGATCTCACTCGATGGGACGTTCAGTGGTTCAACTTGGCGAGAACCTAGAACGATTCACACTGCATTTACCGGATGAGGTGCAAAGACAATTGGCTAGCTTGAATCTGATGAGGAGAAACCACATGGCTTTACCTCAAGCCAGGAGTTCGAGACAGGGCTACAGGAGTGGCAGTGTTGGGAGTGAAAGAAGCAATTTCTCTCAGGGACGACAAACGGTTCGTCGGGCCTTATCTATGTCTCTCTCTTTCTCTTTTCAGTCTGCTTCTGTTCGGTCATCTCAAGCTAAGGACAAAGATCCTGGTGAACGGTCGTTTGAACGCCTCATGCCAGAGAAGGTCTAACAAATAATCTATCTACCTTTTTTTCTTCTCTTGAAGAAAAAACTAAATCACAGCACGGTCGAGTTTGATGATTATGGTTGCTATCATCCATGTGTGCCACAGTTTGATTTAACCATAAACTGGTTCTATTATTTTATTAAGTGTCTGTAAACATAGTTAGCAGAAATGGAATTCGATTAGCACCGTTCGAAGATCTTGTACAGCTTTTCAAGGGATGCTACCTGCAAAAGAGTGTGATTATTGTCTTTGTGAGATTGATTTTCTGGACAAAAGGTTTTGAACTTTATGTAACATGTGAAACGTATATTGGTAATTAGCAAACAATGTTAACCTTAACAAAAGTTCCATTTGAAGCCATGGCGGCTGGTGGCTTTAAGAACAATCTCATAGACGGAAACAGCACATGTTGGATTGACCATTCACGTTGCGCCCATGCATTTTCAGCATCTGAGAGAAGGTCTTGGTCAAGAACAGACTCCATCTCGACGTTACCCCCTGCAACAGTTCAATGTAGAAATAGATTATCACTTCCTTCTCATATGCAAAAAAAAAAAAAAAAGCAAAAGTTTTAGTACCTAAAGCTGGCTTTTCCTGAGAGCTCTTCTCACTTGTCTTAGTATAGAACCGAACACCCTCACCAGATGGGTTTGGTAAAAGCGGAGGATGCATGGCGTAAAAATTCCCAATAGCTGCAGAAACTCCTTGAAAGCAAGCCTTCTCATCTTCCCATTCAACCTAAGAAGTACGTTAGGGTGATATTAGAATCCACTATTCCTCTGATCAGTATCATTTCGGTGGATATTTATTGTATAAATAGTATGCTCTTTTCTCAGAACTCACATCATTTCCCAAGCATAGTAAGAACTCAGGAACACGATCCATGTCAGGTGTATACTGGTCGAGTATGACCGGAAGCCGTGACAAATTCCCATCGGAATCAATGAAAACGCTGAAATACTCCTCTAACATTTCCGCTTTTTCCTTGAGCAGTTCTGTATTCATCTATGTATTAAAAAGAAACAAGTTAAACAAAACCATAAACAACATTACAGCCTCATGAACCTGTTACAAGTTGAGTAGAAGGATTAGGTGATAACAGAAATTAACGATGCAGAGAGAAGAACTTACTTCAGCGATTCTTTCTTTCAGATGATCCTTTTCGTCATTTTCAGGATCTAGATCCTCCTCTTTCAGGGCTAACAATATCAACTCAGACAAAGGGGCTGGATCGCTAAGCTGTATTGCATTAAAATGGGCAAAACGACGAAGGGTTTGCTGATACATGAGCTCTTTGCTGCAAAATCCAAATAAGATGGTATACGGTATGAGCTTATAATTCACTTCTTATAGACTATCTGACACAGTAGAATACCCTCCACCAAACATTTATAACTCAAGAATAATACCTGAGGTTCACCACATTTGCTAGATATAAATGTGTTTGATACTGAACTAAAGCGAAAACATCATCTGCCATTCCAACATATGTGCAATTCCTTATAGTCTCCAGCAAACCTAACAGAGTATAAATTCTTGAAAATCGGTTACAAGGATTAGTTTAAAGAAGGTTATGTTTAGAAGAGTAACAATGCCGAGAGAGTAACCTGGATGACAGCAGCTGTCAACTCCAGAAAGAAGTTCCTGGACACTAGAAAGATCAGCAGTTTCCTTTGGGTTTCTTCTTTGTCTTATAGAAGACCTGGAAGACAAATGATAATATCACGTGGGTTATAATGAGGCGTAAAAACATAACCAATAAAAGAATATCTCGGTTAAAGAAACTCATATTTTGTTAATATGAGTTGTATCAGGTGAGATCTTACCTCACTGCACTTAAACTAGAAACATTGTCAGGTAGATTATTGGGCTTAGGTTGCAAAAACGCATGTAACCTTCCAGCTGGGTCTGATGAATCCGTTCTCACCATTTTATGCACAGGAACTTTCGGCGTTTTTTGTCCTGGTTAAAGAGAAGAGCACAAGCTGTTCTATGAAGTGAAAAAGGGACAAAAGAGTATGCAACGGGAAAGGTTATAGGCCATAAAGGTATTCAACGGAGCCAAATGATTCAGTACCAGAAGGCAGCGGAGAAATTGGAGTATCACTTTTTGAGGATGTTAGCGTAGATTGAATGTAATCCACTTTCTGTAGGCATAAGGGAACACTTAATAACTATCAATATAAATGTCCTTAACCTCCAATAAAAATATTCCTTGAAATTCTTTTGCACGCATACCTGCTCTTGGAACGTCCTAGTATCATTTGTGTTCCTCAGTTTCAGCTCAACCTCTGACTGTATCATCTCGATCATGATTTCCTGGTTTAAAAGGCTTACCTGCGCTAGACCAAAACATTTATTATCTGATGTATAAATGAGGAATTCATTTTGCAAGCAAGTTTTAAGCAGTCAATAAACAATCTTATCATAGAAATAGTTGGACCCATATTCATGAATCTTAAGTAGCTGTCTCAAAGCAATTACCTCTTTCTTTGTCGGGTGAATATTGATATCAACATGTTCACGTGGCAAATTGATCGACATGTAGACAAAAGGTTTCGATGCTTTTGGTAATGTTGCAGCATAAACAATCTCAATGGCTCTTTTTAAAGCAGAGCATTCAACCAATCTATCTGTTGCAATCAATAAACTAAGTGTCACAAAGGATTATCTTATCTAATATCTAGTGCTAAATCAGATATAACTTTTCATTTCTATTAAGGAAAAAAAGTCCTCACCATTAATGAAAAGCACCAATATGGTCTTCTTAGCAAGATAGTTGGAATTGGATATGAAACCTTCCATATCAAAAGCACAACCAGAGGACTCAGCAGAGGAGACTTCTACTTTTATCAAGTTCTTCGCAACTGACACACCGTAAACTGATCTGATTGAATCAAGCCTTGAAGACGACACAACAGAGTGAACATCAGCCTTGACAGCTCCATGCTGGAGAGAAAGCAAATCATCACTAAAAAACCAAGCTTCCCAAAAAAAGTAGACTCGTTTAGTGAGTAAGTATTTACAAACCTTTCTACAGGAAAAGCTAACGTTATTGTGATGAATGGCCATCCGGCTCAGCAAATCTACTATTTTTCCATAATCATCAGCAGAGTTTTGAAGTGTCTTCCTTCTAGCAATCATATTATAAAACAAATTCTCCACCTAAATCATAGTATGAAAAAGTTACTGACAAGAATCAAAGTTACTCTTTGCTCCACCAATTTGATAACTAACCATTATCTGCGTTCCTTTGACAGCTGCACACGCCTTTGGCTCATGCTCCATCACACCATCTCTATAAGAGACTCTGAAACAGAAATTGCAAATATAATTAATTAATAACAAATTAGAGCAGAACAAAAACATAAGCTTAAACGAATATACCTGTGACCATGAATCTGGCCTTTGGTAATAGTGGTTACAGTAACATGAGCAACATAAGTCATACTAGCAAGTGCCTCTCCTCTAAAACCCATAGAACTAAGAGAGAACAAATCTTCATACTTGCTCAGCTTCGATGTTGTGTGTCTCTCGCATAGAATCGGCAAGTCTTCACGCTACAAGACGAAACAACAAATCAAATCATTTTGCACAAAATTAAATCATTTTGTGTGGAGAATCTTATACTCTAATGCCGTGGCCATCGTCGGAGACTTGAATGAGCTTCAAGCCACCGTCCTTAACAGTGACGTTTATGGAAGTTGAGTCGGCGTCGAGGCTATTCTCGACGAGCTCCTTAACCGCCGAAACTGGACGCTGGATTACTTCACCCGCTGCGATACGGTTAACCACTGACTCTTCTAGCCGTTGAATCTTCGGAGGGTCTCTCGGTGTAATCGACGTCGAAGGAGACTCTTCTACCTCCATCGCCTCCGCAAGAGGCGAACCGTCTGTCATCTCTGCTCCGCCAGAAACCTCGCGCCAGATACAAATTAGAGTCGCTTAGTGTCAGCATATTGGGTCAAAGACGTCGTTTGAAAAAGCCCATTTATCCAAGTTTGGGTCTTTACTCTTTTTATAGCCTAGTTAAACGCCATCAAACCAACGAAGTCGCGTTACTTGTCGCGCCAGTTATGCTTTACACTAACTTTTTTGTCTTTCTTTACACATAGAATCACATTGTCATGGAGGGGCACTGATAAGCTCAGCTTATCACAAGATGAATGTAGGGTTTGTGAATCTTAAAATCGCATAAGAAACTTTTAAGATAGTAGTCACTTGCACTTTAAACTTTTAAAGTATTTTATAAGTACTTTAAACATTCAAGTTGAAATTATCACCGAGAATTTGTATCTCCAAGGTGCTTAATGAAGATTGATATTGCGAAGGCGTTTGACTCAGTCCAATGGGAGTTTGTCCTCAGAAGTTTGTATGCTATGGGTTTCCCGGAGAAGTATGTTCATATGATAAAGTTGTGTATCACAAGTCCCTCATTCTCTGTCCAAGTTAATGGTGATCTAGCAGGATACTTTCAAAGCTCAAGAGGACTTCGTCAAGGTTGCTCCTTATCGCCTTATCTCTTTGTGATCTGCATGAACGTGTTGTCTATGGGATTTGATAAAGCTGTGAATCTACGGAAGTTTAATTTTCATCCGGGTTGTAAGAGTCTTGCTCTAACGCACTTATGCTTTGCCGATGACCTCATGGTCTTTATTGAGGGATCAGAGAAATTGGTTAAAGGAGCAATGTCTGTGTTTGAGGACTTTGAAGCTTGGTCTGGTTTGAGTATAAGTTTGGGAAAATCTACGATTTTCATGGCTGGAGTTGATGATACTGAAAAGAGAAGAATCCTGACAAACTTCCCATTTGCGACTGGAGAGCTTCCGGTGAGGTATCTGGGACTAATGACTCTACCTAGGAGTTTACTGACAATAAAAACCTACACCAATTAGACGTCGCTTAATGTCAGCACATTGGGTCAAAGACGTCGTTTGAAAAAGCACATTTATCCAAGTTTGGGTCTTTACTCTTTTTTTAGCCTAGTTAAACACCATCAAGCC